TAGTATAATTTCATTCCGGTGTGATAATTCCTCCGCTAGCCAGGCTAGGGTATTCCTCACCTGCTGTACTCCGCGTACTCCGCTTAGTGTTTCTAAGCGGATGCGACGAAACTTTATTACCGGGCATGTAGGACTTGCGATGTTTTTTCGAAGTCCCCATAATAAGGGATCTTTCCGAGTAAAGTCGCGCAAGCTTTCAGTCCTAAGCCTATAGATCCCTGAACACCTGTAAGCCTGCGAAGTCCTTTAACAAAAACTTCAACAAGCCCCGCCCGGAGGGTCGTACCACCCGACCAGGGGGTTCGGTTAGCACCTGATTCGTAGTACCCGAAAAGGTAGTAATCATATTCGCATCCCCATGCAATCCCAATATAGTCCCACGACGTTCTACACCCAAACCCTATTCGACCTATTGCGTACAGCCGCTCCATCTTCTGATGGATGCCTTAAAGAGTACGTATACCCTGAACCTTAAATCCTTAAACCCTAAAGTATGCAAAACCTCAAGGCACTGTTGCCTGGCGAACCGCAGCTCACAAAGCTGGGTTGACATCTTCGTCCGTGGGATCGACACGGAGCGGCTCAGTTGGGGTTAGTCTCTTTGGGTTGTTTATGACGTTGATACGGATGGATACTTTCTTTAGGTTCTGCCGTTTCATACAACAGGTTTTCGACGGCCGTATGTAACTAAACCCAAAAACCCTATACCCGAAACCCTAAACACTTGTTTGAGGTTTTGTGACGGCTTCGTATTATAAAGGGGGCTTTCTAATGGCTTCTATGGAGTTTTGGTTTTGAGGTCGGTTTAGAGGTTGGGGGTTATATAGGGTTTAGGGCTTAGGGTTTAGTTTAGGCTTGAAGGATTGTCAGGGTTTACTTTTTGAGGGCTTTCGTTTGTTTGACATCGACTTTGTAGAGGCCACGTATGCAAGGTGCCTCTCTTGCCACACCTCTACTTGGAGGTTCATGGGTAGTTATAAGTGGGGTTATAAGTGGGGTAACTAGAATTATAACCCATATTAAAGGACTTACAACCCTACTTATAACTAATTACCCATGAACCTCCAAGTAGAGACTCATCCTCGTTCCAACAGGATCGGAGGCTCTGGTGACCGGCCGGTGGACCAGGTGAAATGCGAGAATTTGATCGATGTTGTTGAGTGCGATGGGAGACAATCCTTGCTCAGACATCTAACACAGGATGCAGTGAGGATGGTGTTCCGAATGTTCACCACCTCTCAGCCTGGTGGATCGGCTGAGCGCCAGGACATCTTACGGCGGCTACAGTCACCCCAAGAGTATGTGGCCACAGACAGTGTCGAAGACGCCTTGAAGACTACATGGGCGTGGCCAAGATAGCTGTCACGGTGTAGGGCCGCAAACATGGCTTCGCCAGATCCCTCGGTGTTAGCTCGAGGTAAACCCTAAACCCTAAACCCCTCATGTCAATGTCGACGAAGTTCATAAACACGTAACCGGACGCTGCCTTCCGCACCAGCATGCTCAGTAGGTCAATTTAGGGTTACAGTGTCATACACAGGCCAACAATAACTACGTCTTCTCATAGCCCCGTATTATCATAAGTAGCATATACAAGCTTAATATGATGACCAAGCCGTATTCTAATTGACACTAGTCACAAAGGCCAGCGTGTGAAACCTGATAAAGCCCTCTAGAACCTTATAAAGACCCATAAAACCCTAGTTTGTTTCTTAAGGCCCCTGTTCTTACGGCTATTTGGGTGTATCTGTTTTGGCAAACTCGAGTCACCGATGATTATTCCGGCTTCTACATGATTAGGGTACGCTAATGTAAGTATGGAATACTTGGAGGTTCATGCGTAGTTATAAGTGGAGTCATAAGTCCCCTAATATGGGTTATGAGCCCACTTAAAAAAGCCCCACGAACCTCCAAGTAGAAGCCCTCCGGAACCCAATTGTTAATGAAGGCCCTCAATGAGAGTTGGTTTCCGGGCATGGCAAGCAGGATCAGTTCTATGGGATGGACGAGTTCTATACCGATGCCCAGTGCCGCAGTGGGCTGTTCTTAGATCCCTTCCTTGGTCGATGGTTTCAAGGGGGACTGGGTGGAAGGAATCTGGACATCCTCAACCCGAAACTTTCATTCGGCAGGAAAGATCCCGATATGCTACGTAAACCCTTGTGGCATTGCGGTTGGGCTGTTTTTGTGGGGCTTCCATTGCGATGCAAAGCATACGCATCTGGGCCCTAATTACCTGAAAGGTGGGCCACTGTTCAATCCTACATACAAGTAGAAACATTACTTATTGTAACCATAACCGAGTACTCCAATAAACAGTAAACTGGGCGCTATAGGACCCTTCTGCACTCCAAAACCCTTCAATCCTAAACGCACTTGCTACGTCGGGTTTGGGACAAAAACACGAGCAAGCGCAACCACAAAGGCTGCACACCAGATGCAGCCGTCACAACTGCCGTGAGGCTGACGAGAATGGTTCAGGGTAGGTGTGATAGCTGCCATGGCAAGCCAGGAGAATCTCAAGAAGACTAGTTTCAACAAGACGACGTTGAGAACCCGAGTCCTCGCCCCCAAACCCTGAACAACAAACTGTCATCGCGCAGCCCTAAACCCTACTACAGGGGATTTAATAATTCATTACGCATTCCATTTTGGGGGTTCCTGGTTCTACGTATAGGATAATAAACCCCGAAGCCTTATTCTAACTATCAAGGCCCCTATATTAAACCAACCCGAGCACAGACCTCTGCAGGTACGGCGGGGACTTCGGATACTACTCCACCGGGCGTGTCTTGGGCAAGAGCGACGGGAAGACAGCCCAGGACCGTTTAGGGTTTAAGGTTTAGGGTTTAGGGAAGATAGCCCAGCACTCCTCAATCATGGAATATACCTCAAATCTCCTTAAGGATCCGTCTTGTTTCATTAGATCATTCCTGCTGTTACCATTGTAGTATTGTAGCTCGTTTTTGGTTTCACAGCTTTTTTATGTCTCGGATCCTGTAATGGTAATCCACGGAAGGGAACTACAATGGAGCCCTAAAGCCCAAAACCCTAAACCCTGAACCCTAAAACCCTAAACCCAAAGCCCTAAACCCTAAAACCCTAAAGCCCTAAACCCCAAACCTCAAAACCCTAAACCCTAAAGCCCGAAGCCTAAAACCCTAAAGCCCTAAATAAACCTAAACCCTAAAACCCTAAAGCCCTAAAGCCTTAAACCCTAAACCCTAAACCTTGAAACCCTAAAACCCTAAAAACCCTAAAGCCCTAAACCCTTATTTTCTTCGTCATTCAAGGGGCCGTAGGCTCTCTGGGGACGAGAGATGCGCATTACGAGCAGGGGGGGTCGGTTGTTGAAGGTTTCGGGTTCCTTTAAGGGGTCTCTTAATGGTTACTTTACTTAAAGGGTCATGGGACTGAGTAAGTAGGGTTATAACTAAGGTAACTGTACTTATATTTACTTATAACTTCAACTAAGGGACTTATAACCTTACTTACAAAGCCCCATGATCCTCCAAGTAGGGGGTTTTGGGCAGCTTAGGGCTTTGGGGGATGATTCGGCTCAGGGGCACAAGGGGTGCAGTTTCAGTCAAGCACGTAACAGTAGTATCTTCTCATGTCCGATCATAGTCCATATAAAACGTATGTTATAGTATGCCCCAGAGCTTTATGTAATTATTTATCAAGGCCCCTAAGCCCTGAGATTTTTTAGTAGACCCTGTACAGAACCTTTTAATGAACCCTTGAAAGGCATCTTAAACCCTGATCCTTAATAACGAAACCCTAAACGTACGTTTCTTCCGGCCCCTACACTACCTAGGAGGGGCTTCTCTGCACGGGTTCCTTCAAAGGTACAATGAGGGCTCCACAACGGTTTCGGGTTTCAGGGTTGAGGCTTTAGGGTTTGGGGTTTAGGGCTCAGGGTTTGGGTTTGGAGCTGTTCAGGTAGGCAGGCTTTTATGCATATATATATATATGTATGTATATCAGTCGCAACTTCTAAGACTCTTACTGTGTCGGATTGGTATAACACCCCGGCGATGTCGGTGTAGACCGCAAACTGTGTGTTGAAAGCCGCTTGAAACCCCATCAATACCCTCATGATCTAGAGCAGCCTGACCAAAAACTCGCAAAAACCGTATTTTCAAGCTTTCCCCAAACCCTAAACCTCTTCACTTTGAACCAAACCCTAAACCCGAATTACAAGCCACCTGGGCCGTTCCCGACTGTACCACCCACGCCTCAGCCTATGGGTCGGATGACCCACATCCTGGCAGCCGTAAGCGCTAACTCGACAGAGCGGTTTAGGGTTTAGAGTTTAGGTTTAGGGTTTAGGGTCTAGGGTCTACCGCTAAAGCCTGAACAGCTTCTTAAGAGTCCTTCCAACATGTTTAGTACTTGGAGGATCATGGGACTTGGTAAGTAAGGTTATAAGTCCCTTAGTTGGGGTTATAAGTGAATATAAGTACAGTTACCTTAGTTATAACCCTACTTACTAAGTCCCATAAGCAGTTCAGACAATGACAGCGGCGACGACGGCAGTGAAAGCGAGAAACCCTAAAACCCTCAACCCTGAACCCTACGGTTGGCCAAAGGATGGTCAGGACGAGAGCAGTGAGCAGTGATGGAAGCAAAGGCGATGGTGGTGGATATGGTGATGCCCCACACCAGGCTTTCAGGTTTTAGGCTTTACTGTAGGGTTTTAAGTTTTTTTTGGGTTTTTGGAGGGTCCTAAAACAGGAGTTCGCGCACTACACCACCTACCCCATGGCGCTCTCGCCACATTTCGGTCGGGTCCTCTGTAGATTGGCAACTCGGCAGACAAGAGCGAGTAGGGTGCGGGGCCGTCGGGCAAAAGTTGAGGTTCAAGGTTTTGGGATACCCCTGAACCCTAAACCCTAAATCCGTTTCATAGGAGTTTGGGCCAGTTTGCGGGTTTAGGCTTCAGAGTTCATGGTTTTGCAGTTTTGGCTTGGGGGTTCGGGCTTTTGGTAGGGGTACAGGGTTGCTGTGGAGGGCTCTACACAGGATTTCACAAGATTTCTGCGGGGCTTTCTACAGGGCTTCTATCAAGACGCAGGGGTTTTCGAAGCCCTGAGCTCTAGTAAGTTCTAGGGTTTAGGGTTGTCAATCCTCAACCAAAGCTTTATGACTTTCGAAGTTTGGGGCTCTGCTAATGCAGGGGTCCGAAGATTTACTGGTACTGTCTTTTGAGTCCCCAGGCTTTCTGGTTGTAAGTAATACTGTAACACCGCTGAAACCCTATTCTACTGATTACACGCTGGTGGTTTCGCTCCAGAGCCAGATCGCCGAGATGAAGAAGGACGAGGAGGAGCGGAACGCATCCGCAGTCCTCGGCAGCCGAAGGTGAACGACAAGGCGATGCTGGCCATGGAAGTTTTCGGGTCGTGGGTTTAGGGTTTAGGGTGGTTTACCCATAGGCTCCAAAGTAGTTCCTTTTTGTGGTTTCTAGTTAAGATCCAAAAAGGTAAGTCCAAAAAAGGAACTACTTTGGAAGTGTTGTGGCCGAGAAGGAGGAGCAGATCGGAAGCTGGAGAAAGCAAGTCCTCTGAGACGAGCGTAGGCTGATCCCTCAAGGGGCTGCTTGGTCTTCTTGCCGCACTGTGTGCTCGCGTTGTGGTCGTGTTGTCAGTTTTTCACGTTTGCTGAAGCCAGTTGGTGGTGTGGTTAGCAGCTAGGAAAACTGCAGAGGCTGTGTACCAATCATGTTTGATTGCTTCCCTGCAATGTGTGACCTAGAAATATAGAAACTGTTGGGAAGCTGCAATAAACGGTTCTGGTCGGTTTACGGCAAGCTTTCGAGAAAACTCCGCAAACCCGGAACCCCCGCAACCCTATACAACTCAGAGCCCCCATAAACACCCAAACCATCCTAAGCTCTGCGTCCTGATACTCCCCGAACCCCACGAAAAACCGTCTAGCACCTTGCCAGGACACTCTCAAAGATTGTCAGTTTTGCGCCTGAATCCTGAATTTGACCCTCGACTTTTGTTGCATTTTATGCCTACCCTTAAACTCGCACCCCATAATATCGAGGCATGAACCAGGACCAGTAGGCCTCGTATCCATAATTATCTTTCATTTCATTCTGCCCGAGAACCCTCAGGTGTAACATTTTGATAGTGCCGTTATGCTAAGGTCTTCATCATGTGGCTTCAGCTGAAAGAGCGGGCCCCGTACCGCGTTGTGGAGATGGGCGCAGGCGGCACGGGTTTGTGACCCCAAAACAGCACTGCTTTTGGCGACCCTTAAAGGAACCTTCAAGGATCCCTTATTCTACAGGAATCCTTAAAGGAAACCATAAGGGCCCGCTTGCTCAAGCAGTAAACATACAGGGGCTTGGCTTCTAATTGTTTCTCCCTCCAAATTTCAAGTGTTTTGAGCATCGGGCTGTTGAACATATTGAAGCTTTTATGGCTGTGGCCAGCCAGCCGTACTCCTGCTATGCTTGGTGTGCACCCTTGAGATCTATGCTTATATAGGTGGAGGTTGCAATCCTGGCAAAACAATCGGCGAGGTCGAGGTCGTCGGATGCTCCCTTAACGGATCCCCCAAAGCACCACGAAGCCCCACGCAAGGCCCTAAAGCCTTTCAAGCCCTTGTAAAACCCTTAAACCACCCCACTTGAAGGATCGTGGGACTCAGTAAGTAGGGTTATCATTAAGGCAACTGCACTTATATTTACTTATAACTTATAACCCCAATAAAGGGACTTATAACCTTACTTACTAAGTCCCATGATCCTCCAAGCACTCAACCTGCATAAATACCGGCTCGACACAGCACTCACCAAGTTCACATTCGAGCCTGAACTTGCTCCTTCCAGCGTGAGAACTTCGCACCGTTTGCGCACTTCTAGGTTTAGGGTTCGGGGGTCAGGGTGGTGTCGATTATTCCATCATATTTCAACAAGTCTGTCATAGAGAACTTAAGTCAAAGGCTCGTGATTCTGTTTGGTCATTTCTCTAGGAAACTATGCTCCACTGTCCACTTCACAACTACGGAATTATCCCTAGACCCGTTGCTGAACCTTAACTCCTACGTCCAAAAGCCCGGCCCAACGAACGCAGACCCGCAACGCCTCGCAGCAGCAAAATCAAATTGAAAGTGGCTTCGGGCGCACTCTAATCCCCAACACTGTTGGATGCCACGGTTGAGGGTTTAGCGCTTATTGGAGAAGGTTAAATTTGCGGAAATTCGACCGGGGAGCAACCCCCGAAGCCTAGCTGACCATATAATGGGTTCCTGCACTATGCCCGTATAGTATATAGGGTCTTGTGAAATGAGCACACGGACCGTCACCCACTACATAGCGTACTGTGCTTCTGGGGAAAGCTGCCGTTGAACCAAAACTTCCAAACCCTACATCCCAAGCCCCAAACCCTAAGACCCAAAACCCTAAACCCTAAACCCTAAACCCTAAAGCCTAAAGCCTAAGCCCTAAACCTAAGTTTGAGCTTGCCTTTGCTGTTTTAGGCTTTGCTGAAGGAGAGAGTGAGATGACCGGAGATGGCCAGCTCCTTCACCCCAACCTCTGCCCGCACGCCCCTAGAGCCTACGTTTTGGACAAATTGTCGGAGGAGAGCATATTCTGGAATTCCCCCTCCTGAAGCAAAATCGTGAAAATGTTGGGTTCAGGCGAAGCCTAAACTCAAAAAAATGAATTCTGGAACATCACAGCCTGCTGCTGGTACCCATGGTCGAGTAGCTAAGTCTGGGCTTCGTTCTCAAGTTTATAAGGTTTAGACCTGCTTGTTTGGGCTTTAGGATGCGAAGTTTGCCGTTAGGGTTTCTGGCGAAGAGTTCCGAGCGCATGTTTACCAGCTGAAGAATGACCGGAAACACATAGTGTAGGGGCCTCAACAATTACCTATACTATTTTGAGGCTTCCTTATTTTTTAGATATAGTATAATAATGGGTCCCAGAACCCTATTTTAATTCTTACGGCCTCTGCATTGAATATGAGCTTCCCCTCAGCAGTGTCGCATCTCCCGTTGAAGCCACTTCCGTAAGGTTTCTACATTTCTCAGGTTTAGGGTTTGGGGACGACGGGTTAGTGTGCGGCGTGTTGTATATGTTTAGCATCCAAGAACGTGCCGCGACGATTGGGCTGGCTAGTTCTTGCTATCGTTTGGACCTATAGTGCACTGGATGCACATGGCATAAAGATGCTGCGCGTCTGGTGGCTCTCTGGGCAAGCTGCTGCCTTCATTCCCGTAGAGGAGATGCTGGACGTTCGTGGCTTGAAGCAGCGCCTGAACCAGCTGCATCACTTGCCCCCGCGATTCAGGCAGAGGGTCCTTTTCTATGGCGAGAATTTGGCGGATGCTGCGATGCTTACTTTCCCGATGGATCTGACTCTCGTTTCTCGGTGGCTGTTGAACGGCTTTTGCACACATGTTTTTTTGAAACGTTAAACAGATCATAGAAAGAGAGTGGCATCTATCAGTACCCATCAGCACTTTTAAGTTGCAGTCGGGAAAGGTGATAAAGAGCCTTTGTTTAAGATTTAACGGAGCTTGTCAAAACTCTGAGGACTCTGATAACAAAGCTGTATATCAAGCCCTGACAACAGCACAGTATAGTCGCGTGAAAGTAGTAGTAGTAGTAGTAGTAGTAGCAGCAGCAGCAGTAGTAGTAGTAGTAGTAGAAGCAGTAGAAGCAGTAGTAGTAGTAGTAGTAGTAGTAGTAGTAGTAGTAGTAATAGTAGTAGTAGTAGTAGTAGTAGTGGTAGTAGTAGTAGTAGTAGCAGTAGCAATGGTAGTAGTAGCAGTGGTAGTAGTAGTAGTAGTAGTAGTAGTAGAAGTGGTAGTAGTAGTGGTAGTAGTAGTAGTAGTCGTAGTCGAAGTCGAAGTCGTAGTCGTAG